ATTTGCATGTAATGTAGTAACCGCACAGGATTTCTCGATACCGGATTCTCAAAGAATCATCTTCCGGCAACTTTTCTCGTCCAGATAAGAACTCCACAGGTAGTGAAGTAGGACACAGCTGGAGGCATGTGGGAATTGATTTGTTATGCACAAATCACGATTATTTATGGGAAAGAACGGGGACAAGGAAAGCGTACGTCAAACGATTGGTTGACTGAGTTGCTGTCGATCGTCTGGATTGATTGGTCAACCACCTGAGTTCACCTACGCTCGTTTTGATTGGTTGTCCCAGAACAAACAAGTTTTCCGGAAGCATGCTTATTCCCTGACAGAACCACATAAAACCCCACTGGGATATACATGAAGGATTGAGCCGGACAACAGCGAAGCTACGTAAGACCATGTATAATTCACATTCGCCTTTCACACTGCACTCGGTTTACAGATACCTTGTACTGCATGTTTGGAGAAAACTACGCAGGGGCGGGGAATACAAACTGCCCCAGAGGAATAAAGCAGACCGCATGTGCCTCGTCCTCCGGGAAAGGGTCGAAAGACCCTGCCGCCGACCGTTTGAAAAGCCTGACAGCGAATTAGCAGCACAGATTTTATCCGAATTTTATTCTTAATTCAAACAGACTGTTCGTGATATCATTGTCTTTTTATACTGAAACCAATGGACTTCGATGATCACATTTTAGCTTGCAAGGTTTACAAATCAAATACGAATCTATATAATGCGCTTGCATTAAATAAGGAGGAGGGGGGGATGAATGAGACACATGACCGCAAAGTTTACTTGTAAATACACCTCTAAAGCAGCAAACCTTAATAAGTGGTGCCACGTCTGTTGTTTCCTTCACTGTTTCACGTGGATCAATTTATCAGTTGGATCTCGGTTCAGAAGACGATAGAGACTCTAACTAGTACATCGCTCTCCGTCTGCAACTCTTCTTATATCTCTACTTCATTCACTGAGCTTCTGAAACCTGAAAGGATAATTGTGAGTTGGATGAAATGAACCAAACGAAATGCACGATACGTGCCCCAACCAGTGAAAACCTTTCATCCGCATATTGAGCTTGACAGTACACGCAGAGAGTTGGGTCCTTTAATTTCGCCGTCCAAAACTGGCGACCATGCGATCAGGCAGTGAATTTTGGCCCGTAAAATACACAAAATTCCCGATAAGAAACGGACAGTGATCTTATTTAGCGGTCAACGACAGGATATTTGTATAGTACTACCAAGGTACATTTTCATCTAACAAAGCATAATTTAGTTTATTTTGTTTTTGAAAAAAGAATGCATCTAACCAGGGAATTACGGTAATTAAACCAAAACACATCATTTCTAATCGATCGGGGTACGGAATCGACTGTCTCGGATTGTAGAGTTCTGTGAACGCGTTTCGGGAACATAAAGCTGGGCTCGAAAGGCTGTCGTCGCTCATTGGAAACAATTGACCGAGTGTATCTGGAGGCTGTGTGGTATTCGTGATCCACCAGGCCAAAGCCAATGTGCACAGTCTGTTTTTCATATCGTGTTGAATCTTAACTTGCTGTTCGATGATGCAAACCGGTAACCTAAGCCCCGAAACTTGGGGTGACGGACCACAAAAGGCCCCGTTATGTTAGGTGTGATATCGAACCGCACGACAGCAAAGCTGTCTATCAATAAAAATGAGTGGCAGTGGCGGGGCTCGAACCTTTGACTATAGGATCTAAAGCACGCCAGTGACAGCGACTAAACCATTGCGCCTATGCTTCTTACGGCTCATCCGATCAATCACCATTATAACGCGCAATCTCATGATTGGGACCCACGAGCAATTGTCTCATCACATGGCACGGCTGGTGCCGCCGACAAGAGGGGCAAGTAAAAACCTGGCTGGACACTGTATTCGGAGACATCAACCAACTCGGTCTTCGGATGGTGTACGGCACTCGCCGATGGAAAACAAACTGGATCAACATTTGCAGGGATCTTGCAGTCAACCGCCAAGCATGGATAGCGGCCATCAGAGACATTCATGGAGCCCACTATTCTTTTCCAAGGAGCCAACCATAGTAAAGTAAAGTAAAAGTAAATATCCCCGCGTTTTTATTTCAGCATGGCAACGAAAATTATGGTGAATCCGTGGTCGACACACTGGTGCGAGCTAGGGTCCTTTCATACCCTGATGACAATGGTCAAGTACTCACGTCACTCTCAATGACCTTCAATGAAAAAAAACGTCCGTGGAGGTTACTGTACGCATTGGAGGTTTACTAAAACCGATAAGCTCACAATTATTGCCCTTTGTAAGATCAGTACCACGGAGATTTAGCATGTGCAAGTTATTGTGGACGGTTTATGCCACACACAATGAGTCAAGGTATGGTACATCCGTTATTAAAAATCTACTAATAAATTCAGTAAAAGCCTGGGACATCATTCATTGAAACTGTTTAGCAGAGAACTGCGATAGCTTGATTTCAATTGGAAAAAGTGCTCAAATTAGACTTGGTTTCAATGCGCAAACTACACCAAAACAGAAATGATCAATAATGCGTGGAATTCTGTCTTGGCAAAAACGTGTGTGATTACTTGGACCAATGACGCTTCTGAATGGTATGGCAGTAGGGTCGGTCTTTAAACATAAGGAGTGAAAGTGATAGTGGATCGATCTAATATCAGTTCAGTTAGTACAACTGTTAATCATGCACTTTCGAGCGCCGGTTTTGGTTCCTGTCTTTTGACTTCCCAGTTGGATGAAGCAGTAGGAAAAGACAGAAAAGTTGAAAAAAGAGTCAAAGATAAAATGAAGAATTGCAGTGCACTAAGGCTGCATATGAACTGAGATGCACGAACGCCACAGCCTACGGCACTCAACCATATCACCCAGTGATTATAAGCGATGACTACAATGATCCCGGGGTCCTCATCCAGAGAGCCTAAGGGGACCTATATGACCGAGCCTTCTGTCCATGGCTCCTTAACCTTCATGCCAGGTCTTAGTTTGACCACTCTTGGCTTCTCTCCACCCACTAGGTACCTCGGCAAACATCGTGCACCGTGGAACCTATTTGGTGACATGTATAACACACGCCCCAACCAGCGTAATCCATGGAGGTCGACCATTTGCTCCAGTGGGCGACCGCGTTTACCAAAAACTCTGCATTGCTCGTCCGGTTGCGTGCAATGCTGAGGTGTTTAAACACCGACAGTCTATTTTCTATATTGTTTTCTTAATGGCCCAGCTTCTGTGCTGTATAGCACAACAGACTGAACTATCGGTCTAATACAGTGTGTAGTTTCTCGTCTAGCCAAGTAGTCAGGGTTCTGAAAGCGGTGCGGTGTTGTGGTACATTTTCCAATTCTATGTAATTTGTTACGAGTTGAATACATGCAGTGTACACACATGTGCATGAAGAAAAAGTTCTGTGATTTTGTTGCTGGTGCGATACTGCCAGGATGATCAAGTCAAGGTTAGTGAAATCTCTCAAGGGATTCCCAACTGGAGCCTTCGACCAGTCAAAGCCTGACCTGCAAAGCTTGAAAACCGCAATTTATTGGAGAGGGACGGGGGAGGAGGAGGCGGTGTCCAGCTCTTGGAATAATACACCCCTGGAAGGGGTTGTAGGTCCCAAGTACCCACTACAGCTCGCGGTGCAACCGAGCCGATGACCACAGCCACATTCAGGGTGTGCATGTGGTTCGTACACTTCTCCTTGTTTGGTATGAAATTAGGGTTTGAAGCCAACTCTCTTAGGCGAACTGCCCGATTATATAGCTGAATTTCTGTATGTTGTTTTCTCACCTTGCTGAGGAAACAAGTCTGTCAGTGAGTAGAGTTTCCTTAGCAGAGACGCTTTGTATCATAGGAGCAATTCGCGCAGTGCGAGCAAACGATGACGATTAACAACCAAAGAAACTTGAACCCCTTCTATTTCGCCTGTTCGTCGAGCTTGGCAGTTTGTTTGCAAACGTTTCATCACCAAATTGCCAAGCTCGGCGAACAGGTGAAATGGAATTCAGTTCACCCAAGCTACGAAAACCGATTTTCAATACTTTGTCAACACTAAAAAACCCTATACTGAGGCTTTCGAAGCATTAGCCAAATCTACCAGTCAGGCACTGGATGAAATTGAGTGCGCGAGAAACTCTGAAGAAGACCATGGTCAAATATGGCTAACTCAAAGGCAATGACTGACAGACACAAATAACTGTTAAATAATTAAAGAGGAACGAACGTTCTGCGTTTTGGCTGTCAACCAAAAATTATATCAGGTTTCAATCGTTTTCTGATTAGGAAGAGCCTGATCCCAACATTTTGATAATACAGATGGTATCACGATGCACCTTTTGAGTCCATAAAGGAACGATGGAATTAGAGTGGAAAATGAGTTACAAAAAGGACAGGGACATCTAACCAGCACACTGGGTCAAAAACATGAAAGCAGGAAATGAAGCTGGCATTTTAATCTGTTCACCTGGTACTGATCACACTCCATAACTAATTCCACGACGACAAATTGATTGCTTCTGTTCACACAGTACGCAAAGATAAAATGGAAAAAGATGTGCGTTAAAAAAGCAAAGGCATGCATCTATTTATTCCTCATTTCACCAAACCCGATAAGCCTCTTTCTCCAGAATGGTTCAACCACGCCTGTTGTCGCGCTGCTCCTAACAAGAAACCAGCGTTCAACCGCT